GGAGGGAGGGAGGGAGAGAGGAAGGAGGGAGGGAGAGATCAGCTCTTGCCAGATGGTTTCCAACAAAACAAGTGCGTCTTCACATAAGCCCTGACTGCACAGCCAGAACCCTGTTTCTAAAATAAATACAAACACAATCTTACTTAAATATGTATATGTTTGGTTTTTTTAAGCAAGGTGCCACTTGACACAAACTGTTCGTTAAGGCCACCCTCAAGCTACAAGAAATACTCACGGGCCACCTCAACTTTTCGTTTCAGCCGCCCTGCAGCTCCTTCCTCCGCCGCCGCCGCCAGCCCGGCGTTGCGGCGGTTGGCAGCCCAGCCCATCCCGTACTTGCGCTCGGTTCTCAGCTTGTTCTCGGTGAGCCTCAGTCTCAGTTTGAGAGCCTCGTTCTCCCTCCTGTTGAGGGACAGCTCCACCAGGTAGTCGTTCACCGTCTCCTGGAAGAGTTTGGTGATCTCGCAGACCGACGCTCGGATCAGACTGTCCATGACGGCCGTCAGATGCGTCTCAAACGTGGACACCGATTCCTCCATCATCGTGGTGGCGACAGCTTCGGACCTGATGACGGTTCAGTAACAGTGCTGTGTTATAAAACCAGCATGTCACTGATTGTGAGTGACACATATTACAGTTTTCAGATGTAGATGGCAAAAAAGTTTCCTAATCCAACCCGTAGCTATAGCCACTCTATATATCCAACCTATCCATATCGCCAGTGTCAGCTACAGAAATTAACTTTATCATTCAACCAGCTAACATCTACAACATTAAATATCCACAGTAAAGTGTGACAGTGGATCCTCACAGTAACATTATTATTCCATCTCTGTCACCGTTGAAGACCACACAGTCGGGTTTTACGCACAGAGTACAGCAGCAATACTGGAGTTTAACGCCGAGTACGCAACCCACGTCGGCTTACCTTCTTCTAATAACTTATAATCACTGATCGACACACAATAACGTTGAAGTAGGAGAGGAGCAGCAACCCCTCCGTAACGGTGGGAAGTGATCGTGCTAGCAGCCGGGCTAATTTAGCTTTGTATACGCACCGTTTGTCGGGTGAAACCCGGAGGAGTAAGTTGGACGTGAAACGGCGGCAGACGGTGTGGATTCACGGATCGCCGATGAGCTTGCGAGCAGAGAGCCACCGCGACAAAGGAAAGCACCATCCAACTTCTGCCCTCTCTCCCTCTCTCTCTCTCTCTCTCTCTGCTTCTGTTTTCCTTCTCGCCTCCTTCAGCACTGCTTAACGATGCTTGAGGACACTGCGCATGCCCAGTACCGTAATTACCCTACACCCAAGAGCAGCCGCACCCTGGGAAAAAAACAACACCCCATAAATACAGGGTTTTATACATTATTACTTTGTACTTATTGTGATCTCAGCAGTGGTGGTGGTGATTCTTCTAAGAGAATAAGTAAATAACAACATAAAAACACTTGATTGGCGTTTTGCTCTCAGTAAAAGTGTCTTCCAGGGTGGATGGAGGCGCTGTGGTCACTTTGACACATGGTTGCACACTTTCCAAGAGAGGAAGAGACGTCTTTCTTCGTCTGTTCTTCCGCCTGTTGGCAGACTCGCAGCAGCTGCAGCTTGTGAAGGGGCAGTAAAAAAAAAAGTAAAAGAAGGAGTAATCATGCCGATGTTCGTGGTGAACACCAATGTGGCCAAAGGCGATGTGCCGGCGGCTCTGCTGTCCGAGGCCACGGAGGAGCTGGCCAAAGCTATGGGCAAACCTGTGCAGGTAGGCCAGGGGCAACTTCTTCCTGCAGTATCAATGCGCACATGATTTCTCACCATGAAAGTAAATGCGCCTTCATTCTTTCCTGTACGGATGAGCATCCTGATCGATTTAACTTGCAATACGACCAGCGCCCATTTAACTGCAGCTTGAAGTAGAGACTGTGCGCGTCTCCACTGAATGAATCGGGGTAGCTTGTTGTGCAAGTGTGCAAACATAGTCTGGACTGTTATTTAGTTAGCATGGGTAGATGATTGATCAGCGGCGTCCTGTTCAATAAACTCACATTTAAAAGCAAATCTTCTGTAATTTCATACAACATACCCTTTACCATATTTGTGCCATACAAATGTACAGTTTGCATCATTGATAGGCTCAGGTTTAACTAGCATGCACATATAAGTATTCAACATAAAATGAACTTGGCTGCACATTATAAAATAAGGGTTTCAATTGTAGTCAGATGTAGCTTCCACTAAGGGTATTGTTTCTGGGAATGTGGGGATTTTGACAAGCAGACTTAATATCTTTTTATTATTTTTTGTAATGTATTTCTCCACCAGAATAATATTAAACAGCATTTTAGGCGATTAGGGCAGCTATACTGTAAGTTAAATAATCATATTGAATATAATGAGAAAAAAAGTTAAAATTATTAGAATATTTCACATTTCAGGTATTTTTGGTGACTTAGGGTAGAGTTGCAGTGTGGGAATTTGGATTAATTACTTCACTATTTGAGAGATCCTCACTAAAATCTGAAACTACAGTGTCACATTTAGGCTTAATTACACTAACACCAGCCACAACAATGTGGGCTGACATCAGTTTGTGTCTGTTTTGCATTTACCAGTACATTGCTGTGCACATCAACCCCGACCAAATGATGATGTTTGGAGGAAAGGGAGACCCCTGCGCACTCTGCTCCCTCCACAGTATTGGCAAGATCAGCGGTGCTCACAACAAGCAGTACTCTAAACTCCTGTGTGGACTGCTCAACAAACACCTGGGCATCTCTCCGGACAGGTAACAAACACAAAGCAACCAGCACTGCACATCATTAGGTTACATGGTGAATGAATCACACAGACTCAAGATATCCTTGTACCTTACTCTCTGTTAATGTCCAATCTAATTAACCTATTTCTCTTTGTGTCTATTTCAGGATTTATATTAACTTTGTAGACATGGATGCAGCCAACGTGGCCTGGAACAACACTACCTTTGGCTGAGAGGGAGTGCAACAGACTGAAATAGAAGATCATTCCAGTATTTTCCTACACGTGTAAAACCGACAAAATGAATAAGCAAAGACACCTAGTAATCCACTGGTCAATCCACTGTATGACTATTAAAAGCACTTAGCTGGACCCTTTAGCTTTGCACTAATCCTTTTAAATTTAAATGCAATAAAGGAAACCCTGTAGACCACAAATGAGTCTTTGTTTTCCTTGATTGTCTAGCTTGAAGAGAAAGAAATCTTAGGCTTTTTTCACTGTGGACATTTTGAATCGTCATACCAGGAAAAACACAGATGTTACTAATAACTTGCTTGCTGCTTCGCATTCAAGTGTCCCAGTAAGCCCTAACAGTGAGCCAGCATTCACAATACCAGGACCCTGAAACTGAAGCTGCTTAATGGAGTTCAGCCATCATTCATTTTATTATTTACAACTGTGCATTTTTTACTTGACATGCCAACATTTCTTCCATTAAAAAGGCCTGTTTGGATTGGCAGATATATGATAAAGGAATGAAGTGAGGAAAACTCCTTGGATGGAAAAACCTCCCTTTGGCCTCAAAATTAGTGGTTAGTTTAGGAGAGATATTACAACTTTTTTTCACAGTCTGAAACTAAACGACATTCACAGTCAGTGGTGCATTGAACCACTCGACTGAAGGGAAGATTCATAGTGATGTGTGAGTGAAAGAGAGCTGCCAGTTACTCGTATACAGCCTACGTGAAACTGTCTGTCCCAACTGAGTGCCTACCGACCTTTGACCACGATGAGCCCAGTGTGTGCTGATCTGAAACAACTGTTGGCCTGGTGTTTATTGACATAGTGGGAGATATTAATTGAATACT